CATAGAAGGACCTTCCGAGGGTGGTGAAGATTATGCTGTTGCCGCCGGAGACATCGCCGCCCGTCGCCGCCGCCGAAGACGGCGGAAGCAGAGAAGATAACCGGAGAAGGAAGCATAAGAGAACCAGAGCCATGGCGAAAGTGAAGCCACACTCGAGAGATTGCGAAGAAGCGTCGACGAGAAATGGTGCGGTGCTGTGGCGGGAAGAGTGGACACAGTGGCAGATAAGTGGGTCCCGATATTTTGGTGTGTTGTTGACGTGGCAAAGCAGGATTGGGTCGGTGACAACTCGTTGTTGGGTCAATTCTTAACCTTCTCTGCCTCAAGGTCGTATAAAATAACGCGAAAAGAGGAAAATTGGAAGGATTTGTGCTTAATTTTATGGTTTTTAACGGTTTTAATTTGATGGATATGATTTGGTTAAATATCTTACAATGTCTTTCAAATGATTTAAGTATTGATAAATTTTTTTACTGGATATGATTTGTTTTATTATATGTAATTTTTTTACTATCTTCTAAGAAACTATGTCACATCTAAAAAACAGTATCACATAAAAGAATATTAATATTTGGTAATCAATTAGGGGTATTTTGAAAGATTTTACAATTTTATTGAGTAGAAATTAAAATTTGTAAAATTATAAAAAGTGAATTGGAATCAAGTACAATCTAAAGACATTAAATTATTAATTTAATAAAAATATTTATTCGTGGAAATAAATTATAAAGAATGCTAGAATAGGGAACTTGTTTTACTCTAAAAAAAAAGAAAATTATTTTTTATCTGCCATAAGGATTTGGAATTGTCCATTTTTTTAATCAAAATAATTGCTGTTTTATATTTTTTCCCTGAAAAAGTATAGTTCAAAATTGGAAGAATTTTGCATAGTCTCAAGTAAATGCGTTAAGGAAAGGAACAAAATCACTGTAACAGCTGAAATTTCTCTGCTCCTCACTTTCCTGGAAACTTACAGACGAAGGCACATCCCATTTCTCTTCGGCTCTCTCTCCTATAGAAGCATTTCTACAGCACAATTCAAGTTTTCGGTAGTTCAATTTATCCATTGAAGCTCGATTCTCGAATCCCTCCGCAGCATTTCTTTTCTTTTCGCCCGTATCCTTCAGGAATTTTCTGCGATTTCATAAATGAGCCTTTTGTTTTTGAGGCCCTTTATATTGTATTCTTCGCTGCGGTGGATGACGTGCCAGAGTTGGGGTTTTCCCAGATGGCCAGGATTTGATGGTTTGTTCAGATTTCTTGTGGTTTTGATCTTATGGTCTATGCTTTTGGAGATTCATTATATTCCATCCTCATCAATGTATCCAACCCTACGTGTCGGAGATCGAATTCTTGTCGAGAAGGTAAATTTCTTATTTCCCCTGGCTTCAAGCTGTGTTTTAGATTTATCGATCAAATCAGGAAGCAGCTTCGGTTTTTTCTATCTTTCTGAGCTGAATTTTGAATTTCAGAGTTCGACTTTGTCTTGGGAGAATTTTTGTGCATGTGAAATGGTCGTAGAGAAGTAGATATGGATTGAGATTTTAGCATGATTATGATGAATCTCAATGAGTTGAAGCTTCAAATTATGCTTCTCTTCTTTTTTATTCGAAGAAAATGGATGGATCATCGATAATATTCTAGGCTAATTCAGTGTCTTGTGGATGCTATCTATGAGGTAGTTAGACACGCCCCTCGATCCTGAATTGATCCATGACCATTCTTGGTATCCTTTGATGGATATCCCACATGTAATTCGAGTATGCACTCGATTCTTCTAATAAGCGATAACATATTTTCTTACTAAACCTTGATAATTTTTTGTTACTGACTATTATTATATAAAAGGATTAATAATGGAACAGTTTGTTGAGTTTGCAAAGAGTGCAAACAAAGTCCCACATTGGTTAGGGAAAGGGGTGATCCATGTATATAAGGGAGGACAATTAACCAAGGGGTGATCCATGTATATAAGGGAGGACAATTATCTCCATTGGTCTGAGGCTTTTTGGGTGGAACTAAAAGTAAAACTGTGAGGGCTATGCCCAAAGCGGACAATATCATACCATTGGAGATACTCGAGGTACGAGGGGTACCGTGACTAGGATAATGAAATTTGACCTAGGAATTAAGCTGCAGAGAACATTTTAACCTTTTTAAGCTTTATAAGACATGCAGTGGCCTGCCATTTCTGGAACTCTAAACACTTGTTTTTAATATTTTGCTATAAACTGTTGAAGTCATTTACATCGACTAATGTGAATATTTTCATCTGATTTTTACTAACTAATATTATGTTCTTATGCATTTTCTTCAGGCCTCTTATTACATAAGAAATCCTGCAATTGATGACATTATAACCTTCCGAGACCCGACACAGGTTAGTTGATGAATGACTAATCTGCACGTCTTTTGCTTTAACAGTTTTTTCCTAACAGAATTCTGTTGCAATTATGATGTGCTATAGCAATCTGGACGCCGAGAAGAAAACATTGTTGTAAAGAGAGTTGTTGCAACATCTGGAGACATGGTTGAGGTATGGAAGAGACACTTCTCATCATTATGTCATTGTTAAACAACTAAACTGTTCTAACTCTGGATTATCACTTGATCCCAACTTGGTTCCGGTGCATAACTAGTTTTTCGAATGATAGACCACTTTTCGTGTGCTAAAGTGGTAAGGGATTGGGATGCTCAAATAAGCTATCCAGAGTCCAGAGCTCAAGCCCCTTTAGTAAAAGACTCGATAATTTAGAACTCTTGTTGTCTCTTAAGACTGGCCTTTAGGATTGGTGAAATCTCATGGGGATTTGTTGTGGTGAACCATGAGCTATGAAGCACAGACATAAAATTGTTGAAGTGTCAGTGTCGGACATGCGTCCGACATGTGTCGGACTAGCTTAGTCACGGGCTTCTACAAATGCAATATCATTTTGAGAGAAACTAACCAATTATGTGGTTTTCATCCAACACCTTCCAGGTTTGTGAGGGATGTCTCTATGTCAATGGAATTGCTCAGAAGGAAAACTTCTTAGCGGATCAGCCAACATACACCACAAAATCAACTGTGCGTCGTGTTTCAAACTCTACTCTCTCTTTCATTTCAGTGTATTGACCTGTAATTTTCTATGACGGCTATATGACTTTTAAAGCACATCATTAGAGATTCTAGAATGGAACCAAAATGGCCGAGTTGATTTGATTATGCTCCGTGAACCCATATTCTCAACCAATTATCACCATATTTATGGTATTGATTTTCCTCGTAGCTTACTCATTGGCATTTTGGTCACTGACTAAAATCATAGTTTCCTACAGAATGCAACTTGCAGTTTCAAGTTTGTCCTTAATCTTACTTGTTTCAAACTTGCAGCAAGTGCCAGAAGGCCATGTTTACGTGCTGGGCGACAACCGTAATAACAGCTACGACTCCCATATTTGGTTAGTGTTACTAACTTTATGTTATATTATGTACGTTGTATAGTTTGCCTGTTAATGTTCTAAGGAAAAGGCCACTTTATTTGAGTTTAACCTGAAAATTTTGAATTGTGTCATTATACTTGGATGGATGCTCCCAATTCTCTCTCTCTCAAAACCTTTTCTTTATTGTTGTATTTTGTGATAAATTGCAAACATCAATGAAGGAATGGGGTTGTCATTTTTCCTCTGTTTTTTTCATTTGAACAGGGGACCTCTGCCCATTAAGAATATTGTTGGGAGATACCTCTGGTCTTGCCACAAACCAACCAGCAAATGATTAATTTAACAAGTTGAAATGGATATGGAGGTTTTGCAAATTTCTGGAGGAGCTGAGGAAAATTATGCAAATTTTCAGTTGGCAAGTTGTTTAGTTCCACATCCTCATCTAAGATGCTTTACCCATGAAGGATAAGGAAACAATTTTTTCATTCTTATGTTGGTTGGTTAACCTGTGTAATTTGGTAGGTGGAAATCAAGTTATTCTTTGTCAAACAACCATACCTTGTGTTTGTTTGTTATTCTTTATCCATATACAATTAATTATGGATGGAGTAGATGAATCATTATTGCATAAAATAAAAATATATTTATTATTATTATTATTAATGTTAGTGGTGAGCATGGTTCAGCCAGGATTATTGAATGAAATAAAATTAAAATGAATATAACTATATATAACTTTTATGGTGAGTAAAGAAAAATAGTTTAAAAATAAATAATAAGTTTGGATTAGTTCGGTTCAACTCAAATTTATTTTAGGTGAACTATTCAACTCAAACTTATTTTAGGTGAACTATTGGATTAGTTCGGTAGAATTTTCATCTATTTGAACTCAACCTAATCCAAACAAATTTATCATTCAATCCAAACTGTACAGGTGGGTTGGATTGATCAGTCTTTTCAAGTCATCAGGTTTTTTTTTACACTCCTAGGTATGGATTTGCCCATTTTATTTAAATTTCTCAAAATTTAAAAACTTCAGAAGGTTCTACAGCTTTTTCTGCCCAAGTTTGGGAGGCCCAATTGAAAAAGCCCATTAGGACTCCCGATGTGATTTGGGCCACTTGTTGCAGTTGGGCCCTACGTAATGGGAAAATTGGAAGGAATGATCAAATGTATCATAAATAGCATTTATGGCTACGGCTAATGGATTCTTTTGGTTAGTTTTTTCCTATTGATCAGTCTTTTGGCTGATTCTCTGAATTTATTGTAAAAAAAAAAAAGATTCTCTAAATTTATTTCTAATGTCATCATAGACTTTTTTTTTTTGGTTAAACAACTTTAAAGTTATTTCTAACCCTGCAATTTTTTAGAAAATTGTAATTTATTTTAAATTATTTCTAAATAATTTGTATTTCTAAATTGTAATATATACCTTTGAAATATTTTTAGACTAAATATATATATTAGTTCCTAATGTTTGAATATCTTTTTCAATTTAGTCCTTCAGTATGGGTGAATACTAGAATGGACTTATAACAAATTAATGAGGAGAATGGTTCAATCAAAATATTTACGTAAGAAAAGAGTAGTTTAGAATTAAAAATTATAATCTCTCAACTGTTATTTTTTCGTCTTGGCATGCTCGTAAATATTGAGAGAAACATAGCCTAAATTCATGGGGTAACCAAAACGACGTCGCATCTGATTTGTTGATTTTTTTTTATTCGGGCAGCAATAATAATAATGACAGAGCGCAAGTAGGACTGTAGGAGTTTCTGGCAAAGGGGAAACGAACCGCCACAGTTGACTTGACTATAATTCTTCTGTTCAATAAAGGTCATTAAATTGGGCCCCACTCACGCTTTGACTTTGACTGTTATTTCATCTCTCAAAATTTTTAGATATATACTAGTCGGTACAAATTTAATATATAACCTAAAAATATTACGACTCTTATTCTTAGAACAACACGTAGGATAGGAGATTCGAATTCGGATCTTTTAACGGGACACAGGTACCTTAGTCATTTGAAGATTTTCCTTTTAATTATTAGAGAACTTTTCATCTTTAAATATATTATAAGTGTGACTTTTCTTATTATATTTTGTATTATATTTGATTTCAAATTTTCTATTAGGTTTGGAAAAAAATATATATATTGTTATTCATTTAAATAATTATAAAATATACTTTTATTTCTCTTGTTAGGCAGTGATAATGTAGTTATGTTCTAATAATCGTTGGATACATATTTAAGTTAATGAGTCTGAATCTCCAACCGTTTTATTTACAATATAATGATCTAAAAAAAGATCTTTTACAGCATTTTAATGAATTTCATTTTGGTCAATAATTTTTAAGATGATTCAATTTTTTTCTTTAAATTTTGAAAATGTTTATTTTGGTACCTAAACTTTTAAATATATTTCATTTTTGTTCATTAAGTTTTAAAATATCTATTTTACAATAACTTAAAAAAAAAACCATTTTGGTCGTTGCCTGAATTTTGAGTATGTGCATTAACATCCTAATCTAGGCATATACTAGGGTCATATAAATTGTCAGAGGTAAGTCTAAATATTAGGGGATAAAACAAGAGTAAGAACGAGAACCGTTGTTTTTTTTTTGAAAGTTTGAGGACTAAAATTTACTTCAAAGTTTAACATTAAAATTTAAACACTAAATTAGACATTTTAGATATTATCCTATCAAAATGGAATAAAAAAAAATCAGAGATTGAGACCAAACTTTTACTAACTAATTGATTTTAGAAAAACTAGTGCATCAAAAAATGGGTAATTAAATGAAGCCAACCAACATTTTATAATCCAAAATCAAGTTTTATCTCTACCTATTTATATGATTCGATTCCAACAATATATTTTTAGTGATAAAGACTCGAACAAAACAAATTAAACTTATCTAATCCACGTGCCTCTTATCTCTCTCGACCATTGGTATGATCTTTTTATATATCTTGTCAAGCCACTTGCAATTCGTCCAATGACCAATCATATGAAGGGGCTTGTTCCGTTCACACTCAAAAAACACTTTAGCTAAATTATTATTATTATTAAAAAAATATATTTGAGTTTCAATGGGTTTTCCATGTTTATTTATCGTTCAAAATAAAAATATAGGTAAAATATACTTTTATCGGTAAATATTTAACTTTATTGATTATTATTAAATTTTATAAGTAGGAGAGGAAATATAAAGAAAGAAATTTTGTTTTTGGAAAAACTGTCAAGTTTTTATTGGTGGTCAACATGAAGATATGTGATGGTTGGATAAGTACTCAATTATTCTTCTTATTTAAGTTTGCAATGATATATTCTTTAAAGACTCAAGTGGTTTCCATTTAAGTAGTATAGAGGCATATTTCAAGATAAATATTTTGACTCAAAAGTGGACCGAGAAGGGACTTTGAATTTCTTCGAGAGAGGTTTTTTAATATAAATTTTTAGGAAATAAAGGGTATAGAATATAATGGGACAATATATATAACCAATGGATGTGAATCAATGTCAATATTTCTATAATTGAAAGATTCTATATCAATATAAAGTCAACTTGAAGGTATTTATACGGGGTTAAGGCACCTATTTTCAACTAAAAAATCATGAGTTCGAATCCATGCTCTCATTTATTGTACTAAAAAAGAAATAATAAAAGATTTAGTAGCCGGTAACTTTTTATGTTTTGTAAAGATATTAATAAATACCAGTAACAAGAATTTACATATATTTAATAATAAAATAAAACTAGTTACCTTTTCACAAAGTAATAAATAAATAAATAAAACCGGTTGTTCACTATATCAGAAAATAGAAAATTAAAAATTCACATTAATTCTTTTTTTTTAATTTAAAAATATCGTATTGTGTGAATTTTGAGATCTGACAGGTAACATATTATAACTTGTTTTGGAATTTTACATTTGGTTATTTTAAATTTTAAAATAAGCTGCTATAACTATAAATGAATTATATATTTTTTATAATTTATATAATTTATTTACCTATTTAGAAGAATATAAAATGGAGGGATGGCCATTGGGTTGAAATTAATTTTGAAATGGAAAGGATGATGACAAAGTTTGAAAATATGTGGGAATGGGAGGTGGATATAGATGAGATTGGAGCAAGTTGAAGGGTACTATTTGTTGGAAAGAGAGGGTATTTTTAGAATTTTAATATTATTATTATTTAATAAGAGATTTGTTTTTCTCTTCTTTCTTCATAATTGTCAATAGCTAATTTCAATACAAACATCCTTGAATTATTGAAAGAGATGGAAAATAGCTAGGAATGTGTGGAGGTAACACATAAGTTATATATATGATTTGATTCTTACTATATCCTAAATATTTTGTTATTTGAAAATATTGTTGAATTGGTTAATATCATACGATTAATGATAAAATCTCAATAATTAGTATCTTCTTAGGTCTTACGTATCATATTTAGATGTACTTGATCAACTATATATATATAATTTTTTGAAATTTTGGTCGGTCAACACCAATAAATGAGACAATAATATTGGAGATTGAAGATTATCGACAACGATGTAGTGCTTACTAAACACAGTCTCTAATGTAGTACCCGAGTGTTTTATTCTTCTCTTATTAATCATTATAGTGGAAGTTGTAGGTGACTTGTACGATGACGTTATATGCAAACGCAACTTTGTGAGTGAATTTACGCCTATTATGATGATGATTAATGGACATTTGGTATGTATAAGGCATATATAGTGGTATTCCAAGCATCTCTTTCACGCACTTGTCACATGTAATGTATCGATATTAACATTTGAAATATTAAGATGACACACTATAAAGATATTTTCTATGCACTAACAATACCTTCATATCAATTAGTTGGGTAGAGGTCTTATCTAATATTGACTTAATAACCAACATCGTGTCCCGAGTTGACTAATGGGATGATATAGTTGTTAATTGAAAATCTCACATTTAAAAAATAAGTGGTTTTGAGATGAGTTCTATGGGACTTAACAAAGTTTATAAATATACTGATTACTTCTCTTGTTGTAATAAGTTTGAGATAGAGTTCAATGAATACTACCATATATAATATATAGAGCAGGTCCTACTTATCCCCTCCTTTAACAGACGAAGGTTTTGATTCTTTGTTTGTTTGTTTTTTTTTTTAATTGGGAGAAGGCTTATGATTCTATTACACCCAACCCAACTTCTTGAGAGAAAATTCGCAAATAGTGAGAACCTGTGTGACACTCCATGCAGCAAATAATAAATAAATTATTCTCAAAGTATATACTAAAAAAAGTTTGGTTATTTTTAATATTTAAGAGTCCAATAATGAAATAATGAATGCAACCATAAACTCCGTCTTCCTTCTTTATTAGATGATCGACTTGTTGTTCTCTATCGGTATGGTATCTACACGCACTTGCTCAATTAATTTTCAAGTTGAGAATTGAGATAGAGAGAGAACTCTTAATATATAATAAAGAGTTAAAAAATTAAAATAATAAATGTGTGTGAGCTCACAATTTTAATAAGTTTTGAGTTCTACATAATGTATTTGAATTGTAAAAAGAATATATAAGATTATAAATCTGGCTAAATATCAAAACTTATATTGGTCC